TCCGGGGCCCAGACCCTGGTCAGGGTGCATGCAGGAGGCAACCAATCGATGTGTTTCTCTCACTTCAATGTTTCTTTTTTTTTTTTTTTAATATATTTTATTGATTTTTTTTTTTTTTTTACAGAGAGGAAGGGAGAGGGATAGAGAGCTAGAAACATCAACGAGAGAGAAACATCGATCAGCTGCCTCCCGCACACTCCCCACTGGGGATGTGCCTGCAACCAAGGTACATGCCCTTGACCGGAACCGAACCCGGGACCCTTCAGTCCGCAGGCCGACGCTCTATCCACTGAGCAAACCGGCCAGGGCTCAATGTTTCTTTCTTTCTTTTTTTTTTTTAAATAATTTTATTTTATTTTATTTTATATATTTTATTGATTTTTCACAGAGAGGAAGGGAGAGAGATAGAGAGCCAGAAACATGGATGAGAGAGAAACATCGATCAGCCGCCTCCTGCACATCTCCCACTGGGGATGTGCCAGCAACCCAGGCACACGCCCTTGACCGGAATCGAACCCGGGACCCTTCAGTCCGCAGGCCGACGCTCTATCCACCGAGCCAAACCGGTTTCGGCCTCAATGTTTCTTTTAATGTTTCCCTCTCTCTTCCACTCTCCCTAAAAATCAATGGAAACATATCCTCGGGTGAGGATAAATGTTAAGGGCCGCTGGCAAAAAACACTCGGTTTAATTACGTGCCTGAAACTCAGAGCGAAGGCAGGTCCACGCCCTGGGGGTGGACTTAATCAAGAGATTGGGGCCGAAACCGGTTTGGGTTCGATTCCGGTTAAGGGCATGTGCCTGGGTTGCGGGCACATCCCCAGTGGGAGATGTGCAGGAGGTAGCTGATCGATGTTTCTCTCTCATCGATGTTTCTGGCTCTCTGTCTCTCTCCCTTCCTCTCTCTGTGAAAAATCAATAAAATATATTTAAAAAAAAAAGAGAGATTGGGACGTCACTCAGTTTGACCTTCCGGCCCAGTGTTAAGGGGATGGATCTCATGATGTCACCAGGAACTCAAGGCCCACCCAGATGTGATGTAACTTCCTGTTATTCGAGTATTTAATAAACTCCTTCCGGTGCTGACGCTCTCTCTGCGTCTGTCCCTCGAGTCAGAGGGCAGACGCCACACCCAGCCCAAGCTTTTGTTCTATTTTTGTGTCTGTCTTTTCATTTTTCTCTAATCCCAAAAGCACCTCCAACGTCTCTCTCTCTCTCCATGCTGGACCCGGAGAAGAGACCCCAGCCTGGCATAGATAAAAAACAAAATAAAAGGATGACTTTGGGTGCTGTGCTGAGCATAGGCTGAGGGGATGGGGTAGGCAGGATGGCAGAAGCAGGGAGACCCGTTAGGGGTGACTCTGACCAGGAAGACAGTAGTGGAAGTGGGGGCAGGGCTGATTTCTGGATATATTTTTTAAAAAGAGCCTGTGGGTTTGATGAATGAATTGGATGTCAGATATTACAAATTAAGGATGACTCTAAGGTTTCTAAACTGAGCAATTAGAAAGATGAGTTGTCATCACTTGAGACATTAAAACACATCCTAAACCTGCCTGCTTCTCTCCAGCTCTACCCCTGAGCAAGCCACCTCTTTCCTGTGACTACAGGAGTGGCCTCCTGACTGCTCTCCCTGCTGTCATTCTCCTTCTCTAGTCTGTCCTTCAGTCAGTATAAGTTTTATTTATTATCTTTATTTTGTTTTAATTGACTTTAGAGAGGGAGGGAGGGAGAGGTAGAAAAACATCCCTGTGAGAGAGAAACATGAATCGGTTGCCTCCCATACGCACACTGACTAGGGACTGAACCCACAACCTGGGTATGTGCCTGGCCAGTATTCGAGCCCCTCAGGACCTTCCCGTGTACTGGACGAAGCTCCTAGCCATTAAGCCACCCAGCCAGGTGGCTTTAAAATTGTAGAAATTTTAAAATGTGCACCATTTGCTCAAATCACTCAGAAGAAAATCCCAATGCTATATATGGCCTGGCCCGTCAGGGCTCCTGATCTCATCTCCCAGGCTGGCCTCACTGGTCTTCTACTTCCACTGAGACGCGTTTCCACCTCAGGGCCTTTGCCCATGCTGTTCCCTATGCCGGGAATGCATTTCCCCCAACATTCACGCGGCTATGTCCTCATTTAGTTTCGGGCTTTATTCCTCTGTTGGCATGTTCCCTCCAGCCTCTGCCTTCACTCTTCTTCAGAGCCCTGTGACCGAGATGATATTACACACGCCCTTCTTGGCGATGGTCCTCAGTAACAGCGCCGTGTGGGCCAGGGTTTTGTCTTTTTCAGTGATATACCCCCAGCCCCTAAAACGGGGCCTGGCTCAGAGGAGGCACTAATGTTCATTGAACGAGTGAGGCTTCGGTAAGACAACACATACGAAGAGCTCAGCGCGGCGCCGGGCACGCCTCTCTGGCGTCCCTCCCGCCTGGCTCAGCCTCGGCCATCCAGGCTTGGCCATTACTGTCAGCTTTCCTCAGGGCTGAGCTCTGGGCCTCTTCCCTCCACCTGGCATTCTCCTCTCAGGGGACTCCAGCCACAGGTCCTCCGACAGGCCTCTCTGCCCACCCCGTCGCAAGCAGCCCCTCATTAGCCTCTATGTCAGCGGTTCTCAACCTTCCTAATGCCGCGACCCTTTAATACAGTTCCTCATGTTGTGGTGACCCCCAACCATAAAATTGTTTTCATTGCTACTTCATAACTGTAATTTTGCTAATGTTATGAATTGTAAATATCTGATATGCAGAATATATTTTCATTGTTACAAATTGAACATGACTAATCACAAAAACAATATGTAATTATATGTGTTTTCCGATGGTCTTAGGTGACCCCTGTGAAAGGGTCTTTCGACCCCCAAAGGGGTCTCGACCCACACGTTGAGAACTGATGCTCTATGTAATACCCCAGTTGTATCCTTTGCATCATTAATCACAACCAATGTTTGCTTTTGAGAAAAACAGGCCCTGATAACTGGAAAGTAGCCTGGTGCTCACAGCTGGCCTTGATGCTCTCATGTTCATTGTAAACCTTGCAGAACGCCAAGGGCAGACATGGTCATTCTGTGAGTGATGAAGGCCAAAGTTCATGAGCCTGCTTAAGCATGGACAAAAACTATGTCACCATGTGAGCCATAAATACTCAACAATACTGAACAGCCCCCTCTTGGCTACAATGAGTGACGGCCGCTTTTTAATTTTATTTTTTACCCTTACAGCTTTATCCATGTTTCTTCCTCCTTCCGGGATGAGATTAAGATGTGCAATCATAGAACTGCCCTGACTTCCTGACAGCTCCCAATCCAGAACAAACCCTGCTTCCTGGACCCTCCCCCCTCCCCTAACCCGGCCCCAACCCTGTCATTCCTAACCCTTTTGTAATGAGTAACCTCTTCAGAGTTAATAGACCCACCTTTGTTTGACAGTAGGCGTCCCTGGTGGTCTCTGGTGGAAGGGCACTGCCACTTCCACTCTTATTTCCTACCCCGTTGTCACCTGCTGAAAGTCCAACATTTCGCTCAGCACGTGGCTTCCTGGAGCGAGGTACTGGCCACGGGACTCACAGCCAGTGGCATATATCCTGTCGCTGGGCTGGAGGAATTCCGTCCAAGACAGCTGGTGTGCGCCGCCCTTCCTGCAGCCTGAGGCTTGCAGCATGGATGAGCACACTGGGGTTCCACTTTGGACTGACGCCAGGGATTGCAGAGCTGAGATCTCGGGGGAGGTAACCCTCAGGGAACTTGTGGTGGAATGATTGCCACACATGCCATGGACCATCTACCTCTTGACTTGTGAGAGAATTTGGTTTCTGTTACAATTGAACTTGAAGCTGATAAACTGAGCCATAGTAGGCGCTTAATGTTTACAGAGTGAATAGTGTAACTGTGCTCAGGGCTTCAACCACCTATATGCAGATAACAGGTTTATGCATTTTAATCTGAATACCATACTGTATATTCACCTATTTAATATCTCCCCTTTGAAAAGGCAGTCCAAACACAACCATTTCAAAAGGTAGTGGCATCCGGCTGCTTTTCTCAATACCTTTCTTTTTAAAATGGCACTTAGCCATGCAAGTCAGAACTACCCCGAGAAACCTAAACACTTGCATTATGACCTTATTCCAAGTCCCCTTCTCCACTCCACTCCCAGCCCATGCTACCACTGCGGCTCCACCTCCAAGCTTGGACAGGTCCCCACACCGAGGTGATCTTTTTGAAAAACCAGTTTAATCTGATGCTGACCTGCCTGAAAGTTTCCTAAGGCTTCTGTCTTTTCTTAAAATTTTGCCTGGACTACTCTCACGCCTCACCCCGATTGTCCTTCAGAGCTGGCTGGCCCCAGGGGTCATCTCCCAAGGTTCCCTTTATCACATACTCCCCTTCTTCATATCTCACTTTTTTCCCCATAAAATATTTTCATTAATTTCAGAGAGGAAGGGAAAGGGAGAGACAGATACACCAATGATGAGAATCATTGATGGGCTGCCTCCTGCATGCCCCACACTGGGGACTGAACCCACAACCAGGGCATGTGCCCTGACCAGGAATTGAACCGTGGGTGACCTCCTGGTTCACAGCTCGATGCTCAACCACTGAGCCACCCTGGCCAGGCATGTCTTGCTTTACAGCACTATTAGCAGGTCTAACAACATACACAGCTGTGACCCTTTGGTAAACATGTCTCCCCCTGCGGGTTTCCAATTCATTGGTTTCAGCTCAGGGATTTCTGTTGCCGAGTGCACTGCCTGGCCCAGAGGCACTCCAGACACCGGGCGCCGCTGACACCACCACCCTGCAGGTGGAGCAACAGCTTCCCAATTACTCCACCAGCTGGGCTCCCTCCCACAAAACCTTACCCGTGATGTGACGCGGCCGGTTTGAGGGCCCCTCGGCCTGGAGGGCCCTAAGCGCGGCCTTTCTCGCTGCCCACCTATGAGCCAAGCCAACACAGGTCTCAAGGACGCCCCGCGCCTCCAGGGATGACCACAGCCCAGGATTCAGGAAGAGGCTTGTTTCCACGGCATTTATTACTAATGTAAAAAACGTTAAAATGAAACAAAATTCATTTTCAGTTCTCCAACCGTTCTCACCCTCCCTTTTGTCCACACAACTCCTGACCCGTCCTCAGGGCCAGTTCAAGACTGGGTCCACTCATGCCGTTTTCACAGAAAACAACCAGCAGCAGCGACGAAGGTGGGGAGAGGGCGGCAGGACTGTCCAGGTGGAGATCACAGAATTCACACGAAGGCCTGTGGCCTCCAGGGACTGGGCTAAGGAGCACCAGAGGCTTAGCGCACACCTCCTGGGCCCGGGTCAGACCCGGAAAAAGGGGCCCAGAGGAACTGGGGGCCAGGAGGCAGCCTCGCGGGGAGTTCCCGGTGCTCCCTGTTGGGGTGGGGGGAGCCGAGAGGCACCAGGAGCCTCACTGGTTTTGGCAGAAACTCTAGTGTGGAGAAGCCACAGACAGGCCACGGACACTGAGAAAGGCTCCGGGGGTGCGTGTTCACCAAGCACAGCGATCACAGCCACGCAACTGACGGCGAAACTACGGGATCCAAGAGCAGGCGAGTGGCCTTTCAGGAGGGACTGTCATCCAAACTTGACCCGAGGCCAGACAACCTGGGAGTTCCTCAGAGCGGCTGCCAACAGGGGGCAGGGTTCGCACATGGGGGACTTGAGACAAGCAGCCAGAGGGGTGGGAGGAAACTGCTCCAGGCTCAGGACTCGAGGGCAGCAGGCAGCAGCCGGCTGCTGGACAGACGCACAAGAGGCAGCACCCAGTGTGTCTCCTGCTCCGCAGTCAGTGGCGAGGGGAGAGGACCCAGGAGGCAGCCGAGGGAGCAGAGATGGGGGCCTGAAGGCGAGGCTCTGGAGGCTGGATCAGCAGAAAGAGTGCCCACCTCACCCCAGTGATGAAACAACTCTGAACCCCAAATGGGGGAGGTGACGGAGGGCGGTGGGAAATACATGGCCGCTAGGTCCCGAGGGCTCCCTCCAGCTCCGCTGGGAAGGCAGGCTCACAGAGGAGGTCCGTTGACGCCTGGGTGGTAGAAGGCACAGAGGTCCTCATAGCGACAGTGTCCTTTTTTGGCAAAGTGTCGGCAGACTGGGCGGTTAGATTTGTCTGTGAACAAGTGAAAACAAGGCAAGTTAAAGTGTGAGTGAGAAAGCAAACAATGTAACAGAAAGAAGGGCGGTCAGACCTCCTGCTCTCCGCCCTTTCCAGGCACTTTGGAAGGGTGGTCTTTCTCCTGGGCGGAGAACATTCAGAGCGACTCCGCCTTCAGAAGGACCAGGGAAGAGTCCAGGTCGCCGAGTGATGGGGGCCCGATGCGTGCAGGCATTAACAAGTGACCTCACCTTCCATGGCCTGGGGTTCATCCTCGAGGGGGCAGGTCTTCTTGACAAGCGACCAGCTTTTGAGCCTTCGCGGATGTCTCTGTTCTTCGTGAAAGCCTCCCCTGGGGGGACTACCTAGGTCTGGCCCAGGAAAAGGAGGCTCAGCACTGACCCCCCACCAACCGCGACCATATGGGCGAGACCTGGGGCCGAAGCCGCCCCACACTGGGCCTCTGCTGCGGGGAGGAGGCGGGAGGCTCAGCAGTGGTGGAATCATCAGTCCCCTTGATCCCGGGGGACCTCTGCGAAGAGCTAGACAGAGAGAGAACCATGGAAAGGTGATCAATGGCCAACCTAATCTGAAGACGCCCTGATTTTGAAAAATTGAAGTACATTATACACACATACACAAAATACACCAATTTCAAGTGCACAACTCAATTATCACCAAAGACCAAAGTAAACACTTGTTTCCACCACCCAGGTGAAGGGATAGGACCTCAACACTCCAGAAGTCACCCCCCTTGTGGGCTCCAATTTGGGCTAGAACTAAAATTGCTATGTACATTTTTATACATGTCTTTGTTAACATGTATGCATTTCTGTTGAGTATATACCTGGCAGAGGTATTACTGGATCCTAGAGTATATGTATGCTCAAGTTTAATAAAGTCAAACTTTCTCCAAAGTGGTTGTATCAGTTCATACACCCACCAGCAGTTCTTGACAACACCGGGTATTGTCAATCTTTTTCATTTTTGGCATCTGCTGAGTGTGAAAAGTTTTTTCGTGGTAAAATGTGTAACATAAAACCTGCCATCTTAACTATTAAGTGTATATCTCAGTAGTGTTAGGTAAATTCACGATTGTGAAACCGATATCTAGAACTTTTTTTCACCTTGCAAAACTGAAACTCTAGAGCTGCTAAACTCCCAGCCCCTGGCAACCACCTTTCTACTTTGTGTCTATGAATTTAACTGCTTCAGACACCTTACATCAGAGCAATCATATAGTATTTGTCTTTTTGTGACTGGCTTATTACATTTAGCATAATGGTCTCAAGATTCATCCATGCTGGCATCTTACAGGATTTTTACTTTTGGGGCCATGGTATGAATATACCATGTTTTATTTAGTCAGCTGTCAGCAGACATTCGGGTTGCTTCCATCTCTTGGCTATTGTAGATGGTGCTGCTATGAACATGGGTGTGCAAGTATCTCTTCAAGATCCTGCTTTCCAGAAGTGGAATTGCTGGATCATGTGGTAGGTTCTATTTTAAAATTTGTTTTAAAATATATTTTCATTGAATTCAGAGATGAAGGGAGTGGGAGATAGAAACATCAATGAGAGAGAATCATCGATTGGCTGCCTCCTGCACCCACCCCAACTGGGGGATCAAGCCCGCAACCCAGGCATGTGCCCTGACCAAGAATGCAATCATGACCTCCTGGTTCACAGGTCAACGCTCAACCACTGAGCCTCCCCAGCGGGGCATATTTTTAGTTTTTGAGCAATCTCCATATTGTTTTCCATAGTGGCTACACCATTTTACAATCCCACTAACAGCGCTCTAGCATTTCAATGTCAAAGCGGCGTGTTTTTATCTTGCATTTACTTGTCAACTAATGATGTTACTGTGCACATGTTTTTGGCAGTTTAGATTTTGGTTTTAATGAGGTGGCTATTCAGTCCTTTGCCCACTTTTCCGACAGGTTGTCCCGAAGAGTTCTTTATGTTCTAGGTGAGTGCTTTATTGGTCACATTTATTGCAAACATCTCCTACTGTTCTCATTTTTTTTTAATAAAATATATTTTACAGAGAGAACCAAGATGGCGGCATAGGTTAACGCCGGAGTTTGCTGCTTTGAACAACTACTTCAAAAGTGAAACCAAAAAACAGAAGGGACAGCACCCAGAACCACAGGAACGCTGGCTGAGTGGAAGTCCTACAACTAGGAGGAAAGAGAAACGCATACGGACACTCAGAGGAGGCGCAGTGCTGAAGTCAAATTCTGAGGTGCGGAGTGCGCGGAGCGGGCTGGCGGCGGAGGGCGCGGTTGTTGTTTTCAATCGGGAGGGAGTCGCAGACTCTGAGTTCCAGATACAGGCAAGTCTTTAGGGACCCAGACTCAAACGGGAGAAACGGGACTGTCTGGCTTCGGTCAGAGCGAGTGCAGCTTTCTCTCCGAGCTTTGCAGCGGGTGCTGGGACTCAGAGAGGCAGAGCCCCTGGGGACAGGACTGAGAGCCACCATAACTGCTCTCTCTGGCCCACCCTGTTGATCCTGTGCGACCCGCCCCGCCCAAGCCCTGCACACAGGCATTTGCCGGATAGCCTCAGGCAAAGGCTAGATTAGCACCTCCCTAGAGGACAGAAGTTCTCTCACAGCTGACACAGCTGATTCTCATAGCCACTTGGCCTGGAGGTCAAACCCTCCCTGGAATTAGCTACAACAATCAAGATTTAACTATAAGACTGCGCACAAAGACCACTAGGGGGTGCACCAAGGAAGCATAACAAAATGCGGAGACAAAGAAACAGGACAAAATTGTCAATGGAAGATATAGAGTTCAGAACCACACTTTTAAGGTCTCTCAAGAACTGTTTAGAAGCCGCCGATAAACTTAATGAGATCTACAAGAAAACTAATGAGACCCTCGATCTTATATTGGGGAACCAACTAGAAATTAAGCATACACGGACTGAAATAACGAATATTATACAGACTCCCGACAGCAGACCAGAGGAGCACAAGAATCAAGTCAATGATTTGAAATGCGAGGAAGCAAAAAACACCCAACCGGAAAAGCAAAATGAAAAAAGAATCCAAAAATGCGAGGATAGTGTAAGGAGCCTCTGGGACAGCTTCAAGCGTACCAACATCAGAATTATAGGGGTGCCAGAAGATGAGAGAGAGCAAGATATTGAAAACCTATTTGAAGAAATAATGACAGAAAACTTCCCCCACCTGGTGAAAGAAATGGACTTACAAGTCCAGGAAGCACAGAGAACCCCAAACAAAAGGAATCCAAAGAGGACCACACCAAGACACATCATAATTAAAATGCCAAGAGCAAAAGATAAAGAGAGACTCTTAAGAGCAGCAAGAGAAAGAAACTCAGTTACTTACAAGGGAGCACCCATACGACTGTCAGCTGATTTCTCAACAGAAACTTTGCAGGCCAGAAGGGAATGGCAAGAAATATTCAAAGTGATGAATACCAAGAACCTACAACCAAGATTACTTTATCCAGCAAAGCTATCATTCAGAATTGAAGGTCAGATAAAGAGCTTCACAGATAAGGAAAAGCTAAAGGGGTTCATCACCACCAAACCAGTATTATATGAAATGCTGAAAGGTATCCTTTAAGAAGAGGAAGAGGAAGAAAAAGGTAAAGATACAAATTATGAACAACAAATATGCATCTATCAACAAGTGAATCTAAGAATCAAGTGAATAAATAATCTGATGAACAGAATGAACTGGTGATTATAATAGAATCAGGGACATAGAAAGGGAATGGACTGACTATTCCTGGGGGGGAAAGGGGTGTGGAGGATGCGGGAAGAGACTGGACAAAAATTGTGCACCTATGGATGAGGACAGTGGGTGGGGAGTGAGGGCGAGGGTGGGGCGGGAACTGGGAGGAGGGGAGTTATGGGGGGGAAAAAAAAGAGGAACAAATGTAATAATCTGAACAATAAAGATTTAATTTAAAAAAAAATAAAATATATTTTATTGATTTTTTACAGAGAGGAAGGGAGAGGGATAGAGAATTAGAAACATCAATCAGCTGCCTCCTGCACACCCCCTACTGGGGATGTGCCTGCAATCAAGGTACATGCCCTTGACTGGAATCGAACCTGGGACCCTTGAGTCCGCAGGCCGACGCTCTATCCACTGAGCCAAACCGGTTAGGGCTGTTCTCATTTGTTTTTTTTTTGTTCTCATTTCTTAATGGTGTCATTTGATTAACAGAAGTTTATATTTGCTAATGTGGTACCGTTTACAAATCTTTCCTTTATGGTCAATGTGTGTTTCCTGTGTAAGAATGCTTATCTATTCTAAGACCGTGAAATAGAGTTATTTCCTAGATTTCTTTCTTTACCTTTTACACTTAGATTGAGATCCCACTTGGAATCGATGTTTGTATGTGGTATGAACAGGTCAAATTTCATCTTCCCCACGAATACCAATTACTCCAGTCTCATTTGCTGGAAAGACCACTATTTCAGTTCCATCTTCATCATAAATGACGTGTCCACAGATGCGGGGGCCGATGGGGCCCCAATGCTGTTCTGTTGACTTACACGCCTATCCTCGCGCCAACACCACCTCGTAACTAGGGCAGCGCGAGCCTTGCCCTCCCACGTCAAGACTGGCTTTGCAATCTCTACCTCGATCCTTTGCATCGCCATACAATAATGCAGGATTCTTATTTCCACAAAGAAAAGGTATTATAACTGGGAATGCATGGAGTCTATAATATTTGAGTTTTCCCATCCGTGAATACACAAAATCTCTTCACTTGGGTCCTGAATCCCGACCTTTTGGGCTTAGTCCCGCCCTCGCTCCCTTCTCCAGGACCTATCAGAGGGGTGGGCCCCCTCCTCCTCACCTGACTTGGGGTCACCAGGCTTTCCATTGGCCATGGGGGGAGGGCCCAGAAGGCTGGGTGGTCCTGAGAGTAGACACAAACATGTGGTCATTATAATGAACTAAGGGACTGACAACCCTGCTCTTATTCTTGGTGGTATTATTCATTTTTCAGTCCAACCAGTACACCCGGGGAATTCGGAGCAGTGTTAGGCGTTTTCACCCATCTATGTGCTCTTCGCTCTGCCCAAGTTTCCGGGATCCACAAGAAGGGGAGACTCGGCCCAGGGGGCGCTGCGGATTCCTGGTGCTCTCTCCCCGCACACGCAGGCCGCTCGCCCACACCCCGCGTCCGGCCACCGCACCCCGCACCCTCTCCAGGGCCCCGCACTCGAGCGCTCTCGCCCCCTCCCGGCCTCCGGCAGGTCGCGGTCGACCTGAGGCTGGGGGTCCGGGCAGAGCACGCCGACCCCGCGCGGCGCCCTCTCCGTCCGCCGAGCCCTCGCGCCGCCGCTCCCGGCTCCTCACCCGCAGGCCGCCCGTCGCCTTCGTCCCCCGCCTCCTCCCGCTTTGGCACCTGGGGCGGCGGCGGCAGCAGAGTCGGCTTCTTCCGTTTCGGCATCGTGACGGCGGCGGGGCCGGGAGCGCGGGCTTCTGTTTCCGCTTCCGGGGCGGCGGCGCCCCGTGGAGTTTCCGGGAGGCGGCGGGAGCCTTTGTGCGGTTTCTCACGTCACCCTCCCCGCGCCGCCGCCCCCGCTGCGCTCGCGAAGGCCCGGCCTCCTGCCCCGCAGGACGCCCACGGCTCCTCGGCGCGGCCCGGGCTCTCGCGCTCGGCCCGAGGGCTGTCGCACCCGCAGGTCGCACATCCGGCCCCGGTTACTATGGTAACAAGAGGCACCACGGCGTGACCTCTGACCTCCCTCCCGAGCCGGTCACCGGGCTTCCCTCCTCGCCGGCGCTGAGGACCGGGGGCGGCTCCTCCTCACCCTCCGCCAGGAACCGGGCCGGCGGGGCGCCCCCAGGTGCGCGGCGGCTCCTCCCCGGCGCGCCGGGCGGTGCGGACGAGCGTTCCCCCTCCGAGCGCGCGGTGGTAGCGCCCGTGACGAAGGGCGCGAGCCTCCCACGCGCGCCGCCTCCTGGCCGCCGCCGCGCCCTCTCGGTGCCGCGGACTCCCACGCGCGGGGACCCCCCACCTTCGCGCCTCGCTCCCGGAGGGAGCGACTCTGCCCCGCACCCGCCGCCGCCAGCCCGGCCGCGGAGCTCCCCGGCGGCCCGCCCGCCGACGTCACCGCCCGGCCCCGCCCCTTCGAGGGTCCCGGGCCCCGGCCGGCCGCCCCGGGAGGGGAGTCGGTGGAGGCGGCGGGAGCTGGGCGGCCGGGCGCGGGCCATGCCGAGGAAGAAGCCCTTCAGCGTCAAGCAGAAGAAGAAGCAGCTGCAGGACAAGCGGGAGCGGAAGCGAGGTCAGCGCGGGGCGCGGAGGGGCGGGCGCGGGCTCCCGCGCCCCGGGAGGAGGGGTGTGCCCGCCGCACCTCGGGGGCCTGGGGCGGGTGGCGGCCACGCGCGTGGGAGACTGCGGAGCGGATGCCTTCGCCCCAGCACCCCCACATGACCGGGGAGGGGGGTGGAGAGTGGGGGGAGGGAGCCCGCCCTCCTGCTGGGACGGGCGCCGGCCTCCTAGAGGCCGGAGGAGGGACTGCCCCCGCCCCTCCGCGAGGGCCCGGAGCAGGGCGGCCGGGGGAGCGGGCCGGGGAGCGGGTGCGGTGCGGGAGCCGGGACGGCCGGGGAGGCGGCCCCGCGTCACCGCTCCTCCCGCAGGCCTGCAAGATGGGCTGCGGTCCAGCTCCAACAGCCGCAGCGGCAGCCGGGAGCGGCGCGAGGAGCAGACCGACACTTCGGACGGCGAGTCCGTGACCCAGCAGATCCGTAGGCTCAACCAGCAGCCTCCCCAGGGGCTGGGCCCGCGAGGCTTTGACCCAAATCGGTGAGCGGGCCTGCCCCGCCGACCGGAAGTCAGGGCCTGGAATCGAGGTGGTGGGGCTGGGGTGCCCCGGTCTCCCGGGCCGACGTTCCCTTCGGAGGGCTGGAAAGAGGCGGGCTTTTAGAAAGGTGAGGATATTGCGTGAAAGGGGCCTGGGGAGGGCCCACTCGGGGAGGAGGTCACCAGGCCTGGGGAGAGCTTGGCGAAGGCGTCTGCACTGGAGTGGAGTCTGTGACCACAGGGCTGCAATGGGTGTCGTGTCCGTGTCGCGTAGATACCGACTGCATTTTGAACGGGACAGCCGGGAGGAGGTGGAGAAGCGAAAGAGAGCGGCCCGGGAGCAAGTGCTACAGCCCGTCAGCGCCGAGATGCTGGAGCTGGACATCCAGGAGGTCTACCAGCCCGGTTCCGGTGAGGGGAGCTCAGCACGCTGTTGGGGACCGGCCCTGGGCTGGGGGAGTGTGAGGAGGCGGAGCTGACTGAGGAAGGAGGGTCTGGGGTGCACCTGGAACTCCTCACACTCGCTGAGCGTTGCCTTGGTTTTGCAGTGCTGGACTTCCCCCGGCGCCCCCCTTGGCGCTATGAGATGTCCAAGGAGCAGCTAATGAGCCAGGAGGAACGGAGCTTCCAGGAGTATCTTGGGAAGATTCATGGGGCTTACACCTCAGAGAAGCTCAGCTACTTTGAGCACAATCTGGAGGTGTGACTGGAGCGGGACAGGAGTGGGCATGGTGACTCAGGGTAAATGGGCAGGCGTCGGGCAGGAAAGGGGCTCCAGGCTCCGATTCTTTTCCATCGACTCTCTCTTTACAGACGTGGAGGCAGCTGTGGCGAGTGTTGGAGATGTCTGACATCGTCCTGCTCATCACCGATGTCCGGCATCCAGTGAGTCCTGGGATGCGCTGGGCCAGCGGGAGGAGGGAGGAAGATCTCCTGGGGCCAGGGCAGAGGCAGGAGCTGGGAGACAGGTATCCTCCTTCCTCTGCAGGCTCCTGCCTTGTGCTGATGTCTGTAGTCAGAGACTCGGTTCTTTATTCACCAGGGCCACAGCCTGTCCCTTCTTCCCTGGCCAACTGACTCCTCTCCGTCACCCCGTGATGGAAAACTGTATACCCTGTTTCCCAGCCCAGCAGAACTGAACCAATAGAAAGTCCCAGAGTGGAGACCCCGGATGTCATGAGGCAGCTGGGGGCTCCCGTGCCTTGCCCCTCAGTGAGCGCAGGGCTCACCTGGAATGCTGGGTGGTGGCTAAGCCCCTCGACGCTGCTGGATGGCTGTGTGGACCTGTGGTCCTGCAGTGGGAGAGGGAGGCCCGGGAGGGAACTGAGGGCGGAGGCCCGTAGCAGCCTGTGCACGCTCCCACACAAGTGCACGGGTAGCACTTAACCCTTGCTTTGTCTCTATGGTTCGGTTTGGCTGATTTACCCTTTGTCCCAGAATCCGCTACCACCAGGGTCTCGTCTCAAGCTGTGTCTGCTAGAGGCAGAGACCTTTGGGTTGACCTCGCATTGCTCATCCTCTTACCAACCTCGTCCTCTTATCAACCCTGTCCCAGGTTGTGAATTTCCCGCCAGCACTGTACGAGTATGTGACTGGAGAGCTTGGGCTGGCCCTGGTGCTGGTGCTGAACAAGGTGGATCTGGCCCCGCCGGCTCTCGTGGTTGCCTGGAAGCATTATTTCCACCAACACTTTCCCCAGCTCCACATTGTCCTTTTCACCTCTTTCCCTCGGGACCCTCGCATCCCACAGGACCATGGTGGCGGTGAGTGGGTAGTGAGGAGGGCAGCAGGGAAGGGGGGGTGGCAGGGGACAAAGAGGAGAACGGAGCTTGTTGACAAGGGGGTACCTGATTTTGGACCTGAGGATGGTGGCAGAGGTGCGATGTGCCAACCCTTTTGTACCCTTGGGTCACAGTGTTGAAGAAGAGTCGGAGGCGGGGGAGAGGATGGGCTCGGGCCCTGGGGCCGGAGCAGCTGCTGAGAGCCTGTGAGGCCATCACTGCGGGGAAAGGTTGGTGAGACCCCGGCCCCGAGTCATGGTGCTCGCCTTCCCTGAAGTCAGCCCTGTATTGTAGACACAGGTGAGGCCGGGAGGGATGGAGAGTGACTTGTTGGGACTAGAGAGGCAGCAGGTAGGCAGGAGAAGCCACTGCCTTCGGGCTTCCCAGGACTTTCAGGAAAGTGGACTGAGGGATGCACGTGTCTCCAGGGGGGGTCAGTGCAGGCTGGGGAGAGCCGGGCTGTGCAGCCTGTCCCTGTCCAGCTCGAGGGCATCAGTTCCCGGCTGTGTGGACGCGGCCCTAGGGAGAGCCCTCTCCGTCTTCTTCCTGAGCAGTGGACTTGAGCAGCTGGCGGGAAAAGATTGCCCGCGACGTGGCTGGGGCCGCCTGGGGCAGTGCCTCGGGGGAAGATGAGGAAGAGGATGACGGGCCCGCCGTCCTGGTGGAGCAGCAGACTGACTCGGCCATGGAGCCAGCCGGCCCCGCCCAAGAGCGCTACAAGGACGGGGTGGTGACCATCGGCTGTGTGGGTGAGGAGGTGGTGGTCGCACAGGGTGGGCTGGACACTGGGGAAGGAGGGAAGCGATCGGGTCCCTGGGCTCCCGGGTCTTAGGACGCCGCCGGCGTGAAGTTCCACCTCGTCTCAGTGACTACAGGTGTCGAGCAAGTATTCACTCACCCTGAGCCTCAGGTGCTTTGGTTTTCCAAATGATAACAGCGATACCCGAGTCCGAGAACGGATGGGAGGAGTGCAGGGAAGAGCACAGAGAGCCTGACAAAGCCTGATGGGGGTGACGATAAGAATAAGTGTTAAACTGTAGCATGTGTCCGGTCTTACTGCCTGCCTGGCACTGTTCTGAGTGACTTATGTGTGTGACCTGTTTCAGTGGTAGTTAACTAGTCCGTAGAAGAGCTTAGCAAATGTTGGTTCCTTCCTGTGTCTTAACCCGTGAGGTCTGTTGTCAGGGAGACTCCCCGTGGTGCAGAGATTTGTCTGCTCGTGGTGGGGACAGCAGCGTGTCCGAGGAGGCGCAGGGCCCTTTAATTCTCGTGGGAGTGGGGAGATGTGACTTTGACAAAGTCGTGGTCCTGGAACCAAAAGGGCCCGGCCTAGAAGTCAGGGGTTGCCCAGTGGTTGGCTCCTGCAGTGCCCCCGCCTTCCTGTCAGTCTCCGGTTTGTCTTAGGGAAGCCTCCCCACTGCTGACTGCCTGGCTTCCCCCAGGAGGCCCTGTGCCCTCTCTCAGGCCTGGGCACGGACTTGCCTGTGTTGGGGGGTGGCAGGGCGAGCAGCTGCTGGGACACAGGCAGCCCTGAGTTTGGATTCCCTTCAGCTCCGTTCATTCGTCCGCTCCTGAGCGTGAGGTGCCAGGTGCTGGCGCAGGGGGTGCTGCATGGGAATGGCAGAAACGCCCCTACCTTCACGGAGCTTGTTTCTGGTGAATCCATCGAGCAGTTATCTGAAAAGATGTTATTTAGGGACAATAAAAAGGATAGAGAGTAACTTAAAGAGGAGGTCCCCGAGAGGCTGAGGAGAGCCCAGGCTGATGGAGGCGCGGCTGTGGAGTGGGAGGGGCCTTCCAGGCTGCGAGCGAGCGAGCGAGAGGGCCTGCGGTGGGAATGAGCTTGCTGACTTGGGGCCAGCGAGGGGACGAGCAGTGAAGCCAGGCAGGTGGGCCGCACCTGAAGGCCTGTAGCTAAGAAGGCATTTGGGTTTATTCCCGTCTGATGAGAAGCCGGCGGGCTGTGCCCGGGAGCTGCCTGGATTGTAAGCGT